CGTCCCGATGCCCGCAGCCAGGCCTGGCTGAGCCAATGCTGAACAACACTCAGCACCGTGCCAGACCCCTCCTCGTGTCCCAGGCCGGCCACCTCTATGGCTTACGCCCCGGCACACAGGAGGTGACAGGAGCCCCTTGTGCAAGCAGCCCAGCCTTCCATCTCTTCTCCTTTCCTCCCTCTACACAATCAAAGCCTAAGCCTGCCCAGCTCCCATCAGCCAGCTACGGTGCTGGATCTGCTTGGGATGGCCGATGGTATGCCAAGAGACCGGTTTGCCCTGCCAGGCTGTGTCTGGTCCTGAAGAAGAGGGCCCACCTCCCCATCCTCCAGTTCAGCTCCCCACCATGGCCCTTGCTCCCACTGGCCAGCCACATCCACAGGGACACCAATGTAAACAAAAGCCAAACCCCCAACCCAACCGGCTGTCTCTGGAGAAGAGCTAACAACAAGGCAACAAGAAGGCAAGAAACAAAGCTAACAAGAAGGCAAGAAACCCTCCTCCCACAAAAGCCTGTCCTTTCAGCACAGGTAAATGCTGTCCCTTTTCTCTCTCCTAAAAGTGAAGGACTTGAGCTGTGGGGCAGCTGCACACAACTCCATCCGGAAGCCATGGTGTTTCCTCTCCACCCCAAGTGTTCCAAGGTAAATTAAGGAGAGTTCAGGTGGATGCTGCTGCCCTATGACATAGCTGGCAGAGGGTTGCAGCCGTGTCTCCCCACTCACTTCTGCAGTCCTGCTGCAGGGCACTCCCGTAGTAGCCCTGTTTGCAGAGGTGGCAGTTTTCACCCTCTGTATGATACAGGCACTTCACACACGCTCCTGTCTTCTTGTCGCAGGCCTCCGGGTCAGTGGTGTCGATGTTGTTGTTGCACTGGCAGGGCTGGCAGGCGCCGCCAACCTCGTCGGGGCTCCCAAAGAAGCCAGACGCACATTCATCACATCGACTGCCTGTTTGAACAAACAGGCATGGTGGGAATTACCGACACGGCTCGCCAGCGCGCAGCCCCGTAAATGGCAAGACTCGAGCAAGACAAGAAAGGCCATTAGTGCGGGGAGTGTTAATTGGACCACGCTCAAAGCAACAGAAGCAGCTCTCGGTGTGACTGTGGCAGCTTGGTGCAGCATGGATAGTACCAAGGTATGGTGCTGCATCCCAGCTGCCAGCACGTTTGTCCCCTTAGTTCCACTGCTATCCTACCCACCTCTGCTGACTGCCTGCCATCCCTCACTATGCTGCCGGGGACGAGATTAACGGTGGTGCTGGCACTGCCTGCACAACCCACTCTGCCCTGACACCTCTCAAGTTCTGCCAACCTCCAGCAACAGCACAGTGACGCTGTTGCTATGGTCACACCCAACAACCCATACGAACATGATTCTCACCAGGAGGTTCAACACAACCAGCCCCCTCCATGCACCCACCAAGTACCTATGTATCCCATGCTACAGACACACACGACTTGCAGCGTGATCGGATCCTGGTAACAGCCGCTGGCAAACTGGCGTCCACTCTCAGGGCCATCAGGGCAGGGGCAGGGGCGGCAGTGGTCACCTGATCCCAGGACGGGGTCTCCATAGTAGCCAGCCTGGCACCTGCGCAGTGGGGTAAAAGCACGCAGAGGATGACAGGCAAACGGGCTGCATGCAGCCTTGCTGCAACTATGCACAGGTTTTCAACCACCGTGAAGAACCAAAGGGCAGAAACATCCTTATGGTTCTTCCCTGTCATTCACACTCCAAGCAGCTGTGCTCAAAGAGGCATACTTGTCTGGCTTATGCCAGTGTAAGAGCAGGAGACTCAAGGCAGAAGCCTCTCAAGATGCTAACTATGGTCTTTCCAAAGCCCTGGGGTCCTCCAACATGCTCTCGGCCACTTGGGCAGGTGCTGCTGGGAGGTGCAAGGCTGTGGGCAGAGAAGAGGGTTCCCCACTCACATCCTCTGGGACCACAGTGCTGCTCTGACTCCCAGGGTCCCTGTGGCTTCACACCCACCTGAGCAGCAGCGTTGGAGGGGAACAGTTACTGCGCCCATCCTTCTGCGGCGAAGGAGAGGGGCCGGGGAAAGGGTGCACACTCCGTACCTCTCGCAGTTGTGCCCTGCCGTGTGGTCCCGGCAGCTGAGGCACTCCCCGGTGTAGGGGCTGCAGTCGTCGGCGTGGCCGTTGCAGTGGCAGGGCTGGCAGCTGGGGAAGCCCCAGAAGCCGGGCAGGCAGCGGTCGCACTGCCGCCCGTACACCCCGGGAAAGCAGTGGCACTGGCCTGTCTCCGCGTCGCAGAAGGCGTTGTAGGAGCCTCGCACGTGGCACTCGCAGGCTGCAAGGAGAAAGGGAGAGGGGCTGCGTTCCCACGGCAAGCCCTAAATGCAGGGCACCGCCCAGAGCCAAGGACTTAACGTACGTCGGCATCCGCTGGGCCCGAACCCAAAGGTGCCAGGGGCGCATCTGTCGCACTGTCTTCCGACAACGTTGGGACGACACTGGCACTGTCCTCCGCTGGGGTCGCACACTGAACTCAGGGAGCCCTGGGGGTCACACTGGCATGCTGAGTGGAGAAAACCATCAGGGGGTGAGTGAGAACTATGGCACTGGCCCCACCCCGTGCAAACCTCTCTGCCTGCAAGTGCCATCCAGCTTCCAGGCCCAGTTTGCCCTACAAGCAGATGGGTTACGTACATAACGCGGTTTCGTGTAACAGGGCAGAAATGCTGAATATGATGTTCTTGCAGACATCCGTCATGGGGGTTTTCACAACACTCCTGCTGTTTTCCAGACACCGGTACCTTTGGAAAGTTTCCCACGCGCTGTTCGTGACCACGTCTTCACCTGAGCCTCCTACTGTGAATATGTCCAGCGATTTGCAGTATGGCATGAGAACAAGCTACAAAACAATTTTACAATGACAAAGTTTCACTATTTATAAATAGTCCCCACCAAAACCGTGAAAATTCAGTTTTATCCTTCTTCCTATCATCCCTTTCCCAAAAAGCAAAGAGCCAGACAGAATTTAGAAGGGAAATGACAGTTATTTCTTTAATTCTTGAAGGAACAGTTCTGGTATCTACCAAATTCTTGCTAAATCTACCAAATTCTATTCATTAAAAAGAAAAAGATTGACGTCATTCATGTAATACATGGCACATACTAACTTCCCCAATGAAACTAGAGGTCTGTGGAGCAGACCTGCAGTCCTGTACAATACCACAAAAGCCTCCTAGCAGAAAAACAGCCCACATACTTTGAGACTGAAGAAACCTATGCTGCTTTACATTGTTCAGTTAAAATCTGGCTTCAGCTGTAAGCAACAACACTGTGAAATGTTACTTTGGATTTACACAGGCGGATGCTGTGAGACAAACTTGCGGGCTTTTAAATACGCTTTTACCCCAGGGCATCCCCAAAATAATTTCTGCTCACAGAGTCAATGAGCGTGTATGGGCTCTCTGTCTCTGTATCCACCGAGGAGTACTGGGGCAGCTCCAGGCGGATGGTGTAATTCAGCCCCTTCTCAAAGCAGACAGGCCGTGGAAGAACAACGTATCTAGGTTAGGAACAGGAAACAATTCTTACTTCAAAGGTCCAGCAGCATAAAGTGTTTCAGGTGGCCCTATAAAGCAATTGAGGTAACGGAAAGCAGCCAAGACTGGGCAGAACAAAATCTACGATGTGAAAGAGGTGGTTTGGAGGCTCATGCAAGTCAGAACTGGAAAAGCTGATCAGCAAGGTAAAGAGTCGAACTGGACTGATGTTCACTCATAGGCTGTGCAAACACCCCCCTCCTCCCCTTATTCAGCAAACAAAACAAACCAGAAAACAAGAACAAATTGAAAAGCTTTGAGTCTACAGAGACAATGCTAAATATGTTTTTATAAGCCACTGGAAATTAAATTTCATCTGTTTTCACAGAGGCCAGAGCAAACTGAAAACATGATGTTACTCCGTTTCAACTTTTCAAGTGTTTTTTTTCCTTTTGGCCCACCCAGTTATACCAACCTGGAGCCGGGTGACAGTGAGACAACCTGATTATCGTCATCAGGAACCGTATTGCCACAGCGGTTACCTGTGGGAATCTTGCCCGGGCGTGAGACACTGATCACAGCTTTTTCCCACTGATCTGGAAGCTGGGGGAAAAAAAAAAAAAGACTGATCACCATCAAACAATGGCCACAAGCTCCTAGGAGCATCCAGAGCTCAGGCCAGGAAAAGCATCCGCACAGATGGGGTGGTCACTGGGCTTCGGAGAGGATGGGGCTGCAGCACCAGCATCACTGGGGCCTCTACTAGTTGCAGGTTTGCAAGGAAACTGTCCCTGGGCATCCTCCAGCACAACAGCCTCTCTAACCTCCCTCCCTCCCAGAAAACCATGACTAGGTGTAGGTGGTCAACAGCTCCATCTTCAGCATGGCGTCAGTATGGGGGTTAGTGATCTCCTCTCCCCCCGACTTCTGGGTACTGCACCCAAGTATTTCAGTGCAGTCAATTGCTGCCAAGCTCTAGGTAAGGAGCTGGGGGTGGGGAGAGCTGTTCTTTCCCTTCACCCTGTGAATTATCCACAGTCAAAATCAACGGCTTGCTAACTCTTGGCTGCAGGCATTCAACATCCCAGGGCAGTTTATCTCCTAAGGCGCATAACAGCACTTCCAACCATTAGAAGCCTGTCTGGTTGATGCCAAATTTATATTCTAATCTGTCCTGACAGGACTTGTCGCTTTTTAATTTGTTCATTAAACAGGTGCTGAAACAACACAACAATGAAAAAAATGTAAAGCAAGCAATAGAAGTAATAGGCGACATCTTGGATTTTCACACACCTCAGACATTTAACTGAGCATCCATCCCTGTCTTTGAGTCCTGATGACTCCTGGAATTGCTGGGCTCCTGTCAGTCACATACTGGGACAGCCAGCGCATGCTGGGAGGCAGCAATGCCTGTACTCAGACCTACCTGTGGCTCATAGCGGATCAGAATGTCATACTCCATGGAGTAGGGGATGTTGTCGATGTAGAATTCCAGGTAGGCCCCCTCAGGGACCCTTACAAATCCTATGCCTGTCCACGATGGTGTGCGGTCTGGCGTGTACTGCCGTTCTATTATGTTTACTCCCTACAAAAACAGGGAACAGAGATCTTAATACCGACACATAAACTTTGTGAGCCCCACGGGAGTGTATGAAGTGAAAACTTCTGCTGATGAATCGCTTCTGGATCGCAGTATCCATCATTTGCAGAGAACATGAATTCTCTTTTAAACCCTTATGTGTGCACGCCGTTGCACCTCTGCTTAACAATATATAAAAAGCAAGAAATATAAAATAAAACAACACTGCACAATTCCTCATCTGTTCTCTGTTATGGTGCAGAATTAAATTTAAAAACTTGCTGTGAGTAACTAATCCACCAGCTACAACATCTCATTCACTGTAAGGACTTTCATGTCATACTCGGAGCAGTAGAATTTACTGCAGTGGCACATAACCGCTCGATTAACCACCCAAGCCAAGTGCTAATTACTTCCTGACTACACCAGGCTGCTCCAAAACACGGCTCAGGATAACATCTGAAAAGCAGATCAGGTCGTCATGAGCAGGGTGTCACTCAATAACAGAGACCCTAACACTGGTAGATGTTTAATAGCCATATCAATACATGGTCACTCCTTGCAGTCTGAGGTGCCAAGTTTTTACCTGCTACTCTTTGTATAAAACAAAGAAGAGGGAAAAGGCCACAGAAAATGGAAATGTGTGGTGCTCAAACTTCCCATTTCAAACCTATCTGCATCCACGAATAGTTCTCTCCATAGAACAACATCCTGTGCATTCCTAAGGAAGCTGCTTCAGTAGAGAGGGATAAAATGTAAGGAAATGTCTCTCTATATATACATATCACTTCAGGATGTCCCCTCAAGCATTCTCACATTCTTTGAAGAGAGCCTGGCTATAAGTTACTACCCTTTGACCTTTCACAAAGGGTTGGAGCTCCCCAGAATGGATGGTGGGTGGGATGTGAGCATGAGCGTACAGCTATGGGGAGCATGGGGGCTTGGCACCATCTGAAAACCCCTGCAACTCTGTGTCACTTCACTTTGCCTTGTGCTAGGCCCCCTAACCCAGAGTTTTATTCTGCCATCAGATTTGTGAAAAAACTTTTCATTATTGGAGGTTTTTAAAATGGTTTGTTCTGAAAGTTTCAGAAGGCTAACTAGTGACACATCTCCTTACTCTGCTTGGCAAGGTGGGTTTCCAAACTGGGCTCCTTCATTCCCAATCCTTGGCAAGGCCCCCATGTACCACCTTTCCACTCAGGCAGACACAAATGCACCAAAACCCCTGTGCTAGTTCACAAGCCATCTGCTGCAGTCCAGCTTCTGCTCTGCACTGTCTTCCCTCTCTGCAGTTATTGGAGAGAAAAAATTCTCTGCTTTGGCTGAAACTGCAAAGTGGCTGCATTTTGCCTAAAAGAAATAAATTAGGACCAACTGCCCAAAGTGCAGGCAGACAAGGATCTGATGCTTTAGACAAACCATTATCTCATCCCTCTGACTCCTTGCTGGAGGCAAAAAATAATTAATGTAATTGCTTAGCTGCTGTTAATGAATTAAAAGCATGGCTGTGTGGTGGTAAATGGAAAGAGCCAGAGACCACCATGTGCCACACCAGCAGGCAAAACAACCTAGAGGCAGCCTCACTTACAAAAACAGGGCTTTTTGCACAATCAACTATGGGTTTAGTCATTAATAAAATAAAAGTTACTGATGTACAGAAACTCTGAAAGTTGCAGCAACGTGCTTAAATGTGTGCTCTGCTCTGTCCTGGTTTCAGTGGCACCAAAGAGAAGAGCCACTGTTGTTGTCCCACTGCTCCTGAGATAAGAGGGGAAAGAGAAGTGGGTGCGGTGGGCACATAGTGGGGTACAGAGAGGGATGCTCTGGTGTTCAGTCATGATCAAAGAAAGATTTAAAAAGAAAAACATAATTTCCCCCCCTAAATTACTACATTATTTATCAATACTAAGACTGAAGAGATACAGGCTGATGGTTCTTGAATACAATTCAGTTTCATGTTCTCCACATTTTAATTGCAAAACGTTCAGGGTATAAAATAGATGTTTCCAATACTCAAATGCTGAAACAACTTTCCCACAGCTGTCCAGACCCACCAGCCCACAGAAACTGCTACTCACGGGACCCAGGCTGGCTTCCTCTGCCTCGTAGATGTAATGATCGAGTGAAATGAAGTAATAGCCGGGCTCCACCTGGTTGCACTGACGTCCAAACATGTGGGGTCGGCATTCGCATTGGCCAGACTGACTTGAGCAGCTAAAATGGAAGAGCAAAGAAATTACAACACATCTTGGCTACATCAAGACAGTGCTAGAGCTACCTTCCGCTTTGACATTTCAAGTGACACAGGAGAAGTGCTTTTGGATGCAGCTGCATCTAGGCACAAGATGTTCCCAGGCTCTGCAGCTGAGTAATCTGTGCTAAAATGGCAGCATGGCCCTGGGTGCAGTCTTGCCTCAACCCCAAACAACTCCTAGGCTCGGGCTGCGAGCAAGCATGGGCCAGGGACCATTTCCAGTTGACAGTTTACATGTGGTTTCTTCTGTTTGGATGGTAAGAGGATTTCATGCTACAGATGCAGGCAGTTCCCTGGGGCCAGACAGCAGTCCTAGGAGAGCTTCACTTGATACCACCGACCTAGCCAAGAGGCACGTCTGTCCTGCAAGCTGAGGGCAGCCTTCAGCTCCAGGTTTGCAGGCCATGCAAGTTATGTTTGTACAGGCTCAGGCAAAGCAAGAACATGCACGACCTTGCATGCCCCAGGACGTCAAGCTGTATGGTGCAAACCACAACCCAGGAGGTTGCCCATCAATGACTGATTTTCCTCCAACAGGAGAAAACCGTAACTAGCTGCTCTAAGGTAGGATGGAGGATGGACACAGCCAAAGTCACGGGACAGACAGAGCCATCACTGGGGAATGCAAAAGGTCTGTCCAGCGTGACATATTGCAGCTCCAATTCCTTCATTATGAGCCATTTTCTCTTTTCAATACAGCTCTACCCTCAAACTGCCTTTTGGCAGTTCTACTGTCCCCAGAGAGTCCATCCTGTGTTATGAAGAACACCTGGGCAACTTGTAGTTTTGCATGTGCCTGGTCACTCTTTTTCATAGGAAGGCTTTTTAGTTCACCAAAATACGCCCCTTTCTTTGAATTTTGAGTGGAATTTAGAAACATTTTCTAAAGCCAAACCCCTCTGGTTTCCATGGAAAATCTCCATGCTTCTCAAGTCCTGACTCTTAAGAGTAACTTTTAACTGAAACCATTTTTGAAATTGCAGAGTCACTTAACATGTTCACTCAGAGGTTCCAAAAGCACCTCAGCTGCCCTTAGAAGGGGAGCTGGGAAGTTTCCCCTCCGGAGACAGCAATGACTGCACCACGTGGGTTACAGCAGAGGGATGAATTTGGGGCGAGGTGCAGCCGCCCCAGGTGCTGCATCCCACACGCTGAACGGGAGCCAGGAGGAGGCAGTTGTGCAGCTGAGGAGAGGAGCCCTGGGAGGGCGAAGCTCTCCCTCCCTGCGGGCTCGGCGGCCGTGGCGCGGCTGC